TCGCGAAGCGTCGTTTTATTTTTTTACGCGCGTTTGCATGCATTCGGTTTAGCCTCGGTTCTCTTTGCTTGAAACAGCTTGGACGGTTGCTTCCTTGATCGGTAATGTCGGGCGGGAGAGCACGGATCAGGAGGAAACAGATCGATCGAAGAAAAAGAAATGAAATTTCGGCTAGGAAACCGGATAACTTTGAACAGATCGTGTTATTCGTTGAGAAGCACAAAAGAAAAAAAATAATAAGAAAAGCAGGATCTAAAGAACACATACACGAACACACACGCACGCACACACATACACAGATACAGTGTACGTGCAATGCCACGATCACGAAATAGGGCCCATTTCCTTTCACCGTGTTTCACACCTTTTACGATCTCTATTATATACTGCCGTCAAATTTTCTACTTTTATATATTATATATGTACCTTCACCCCTCCACCCATCGAGAACGTTCAAGAGTTCGATTTTCACTCTTCGTTAACCCTCGATCGTTTTTTCGAAAGATTCGCAAGATTTGGATTTTGGATTTCGACTTTCGAACGAGCCGATATCAGAGAAGAAAGGATTTTTTCGAAACATCGTGGCAATTAATTATATAGAGAGGTATATACGAAGAGTGGAATCATCTTCTTGAAGCGATCACCTCATATTAGCGATCAAGTACATTCTTCGTTAGCATGGCCCGAGGTAGTTTTAGGTAAATAGCCGCCGTGTGATCTCTTTCTCGCGAGAAAAAAAAGGATGGAGGGAAGAGCGATGAACAATCGAAGAGAGAAAGAGAGAGAGAAGAGACTCGATGCAGGAACAGGGTAATTTCGTTGCGCCGCAAGTCGAGCGAATTGACACGACGCTTTTTTTGGTATATCGCGGATGGATACGCATTCTTTTGTTCGAACAAGATTGGACGAAGCTTGTCCGCTTTGTCGACCGATTGTCGACGAAATAAAATCAAAGAGGGAGAAGAAGACGCGCCAAAAAAAGAAAGAAGAAGAAGAAGAAGAAGAAGGAAAGGAAAACAATTCCAACGTTCTTTCTCGTTGCGTGCTGCAAAGTACAAAATTGTTTCTAACTTTTAGAATCTTTTATCGACACGACCCTTTCGACGTTCATACTTCAAAAAGAGCGTGTATACCGACGAATATCGAAGTGTGATTCGAGTCGCAAACGAACGAAAGTGAGGTAAAGAGAAGAAAATAGAGGAATAAAGGACGAGGAGAAAAGCGACGACGATGCGCGGGGGGAAAAGAATCTTGTATAAAGGGTAAAAGCGTATTTTTTTCTTTTTTTTAAACAAATTCGAACACTCGAGGCATACTCGAAGATGTTCGAATCACGGTAGGGAGGGGACAATGACGAATGTAGATTTTATCGCGAGATTAAGAGATTAAAAAGTAACGAAATATCATAGACGAAGTTTTAAGATGGATGTGTAAAGGAAGATTATAAACGACGAGAAGATAAAAAAAGAAAAAAAAAAATTATAGTCGGTACACTGGTAGTGAATCTTACACATACGCGTACACACAGTCACCACGTACCATTCACGGAAGTTTATTAATAATTACCATGGTCGATTAGCTTTTAATGCCATCTCTCGGGAGAGATCGAACGAGATAAGTGGAACTTTCACATTTATATTCGCTATGAATATCGTAGATCGTTCGAAACACATACACACACACACACACATACCATAGGAGAGAACACACACGCGTTTAAATAGTCGTTATACATTCGAAAAAAAAAATCCCTCCACGGATCCCGTGAAACTCAGAAAAGAAAAAAGAATCCAACCCTATTTCCTAACAGAAAAAAAAATAAATAAATAACCTGGTCGAAGTATGTACCTAGCTCTATTCGAGTCTAAATATTTTAATTCTTAGACGTATGTATGTAGGTGAAAGAGAATTAAATGAGAGGAAACGGGGTGTGGAAACGAGAGGGACAAAGTTGTGACACTAATTATACATAATTGTAATCCGAGACGACATTATTATTAAAAAGGTAACACGATATAAATATGAAAAAAAAAAAATTTAAAAATATATTATATATATATATATATAGATAGATATATATATATAAATATAAATACATTTATGGAGATCTTTTATTGACTTCGATGTGCGCGACTGCGAATTGAGTGATGCGAATATGTAAATAACGATGCACAGTAAGGTATTGTTCAGCAGAGTGTCTGTGAAACGAAGAGCAATTATGTTTTGCGAGTTCTGTTCTCGAGGCATGTTTTCGACGGAAAGAGGGTGCGCTTATATATATATATATATCCCTTAATCATTGTGATCGAGCCCTCATCAAACCTCTTCTTGAAAGTTCAAAGAAAAAAAAAAAAACCTCATCGACATTATTCCTCTCGTCGACGAATATTTTACGATTAAATCGATCAATCTTTGTGTCAAAATTGACGAATGGTCCGCACCCTCTTACCCCTCGATTCCCTCGTCTCAACCGCGAAAAAAAATTCATATTTGCCCATTGATTTCATTAAGGATCAAAAAGAAAAAAAAAAGAAAGAAAAAAGGAAAAAAAGGAAAAAAAAAAGAAAAAGAAGAAAAAACAAAGGAAAAAAAAAAAAAAA